TGTTCCCAGAAGCTGGGCCCTGTGTTAGCATGATGTATATCTGCACATCTCTTGTGGTTTGTTTGGAGTGTGATCTTCTGGCTGTGCAAAGACTTGGGTTCACTTCCCTAATTCCAAGTGAACAGCAACTGAAAAGTGAGCATTATTTGGTGGGGTTTTTTGGGGGGTGGGGCCATGTGTCCCCTACCCCACTTTGAGTTCTGAGTATTGGTGAAGGGCTTTGGGCTCAGTCAGCCTGGGTAGGTTGTGTTTGTGGCGTAGTTGTGCTGCCTCCTGAGATGTGTCTGCTTGTGAGCGTTGATCTCATTGCTACAGCAAGTCACTTATACCTGCTCAGCTGCTGGATGAGTTCTGTGACTTTGCAGTGTTAGCAGCTTTGTGATCCGATATTCAGGAAATAGGTTTCCTGAGCATTAGCTTCTTAAAATCATTGAATTATCTAGGCTGGAAAAGATCATCAAGTCCAGCCATCAACCTGACTACCAAATCCTCTCGCTGAGCCATGTCACTGAGTGCCTTGTCCACTCATCTCCTGGATACCTCCAGGGATGAGGGCTCCCCCACTCCCTGGGGTTGAGCTCTGCAGCCTGGTACTTCACCTCTCTATCTGATCTGTGTTGGATGTGCTTTGGCAGATAATGTCCTTGTAGGCTCCTGTGTGCATGTGGAACATCTGGTGGCATGGATGCTCCTGGAGCTGGAGCTCCCTTTGTACAGGAATGTGCATTTACACTTCTGGTGGGAGACAGAAGCAGCTGCTGGTGCAGAAAAGCAGTGCTCACTGGAGTCACTGGCAGGATTGCTGGGGTTTTGGGGACTCACTAATTCACATTTGTTTGCAGCAGTGCTAAAGCTTAGGATTGTGCACATGAGCGTTTCTACAGTGTTTTGCTGCAGGCAGTGAAAGGCCAGTAATGTGGTTTTTCAATGAAGGAAGGGTTGGGTTGCTTTTTCTTTTTTCCTTCTTTTGTTTAGCTGATGTATTGCTGTGACATGACTCTCATAGCACTGTTTCTCACCGAGACGTGAAATATTGAATCATTGTAGGTTTCCTCTCCCATTAAGATAGAGGGGAAAAAAGCATTAAAAGGGTGTGTGGGGCAGGAGGAGGTTGGTGGGACACATGCAGGCCTCTTTTCAAGTCACTGTTCTCATCTATCCTTTGAATTAGCTTTTTTTCCAGAGCCGCACCAGAATTTTGCAATAAAACCCACATGTGAGAAACCAGTGGCGCGTCTTCTAGTCAAAACAGTGCAATATAACTACTTAAACAGTCATAGAGAAATGTTTTGATTAAGTAACTGAAGGCCATATGCATGTTGAATGAATTAGTTTCTTCCCTTTGTACTATAATGAAGACGCCATTACAGAAACCACATGAGAGGAGCAATCTCAGACTATCTTTTCTGAGTTCACATGTTTAAAACTGCAAACTTGTGTGCTCTTAATAGCGATTAAAACTTTTCTGGGCTCTTTTGGGGATGCTCTTCCTTGGCTAGGCCTCGTGGAGGGGCAGCTGTAGTTTGCATGCTTAGAGCCTGGGAGGTTACATCTTCAGCCCTTCAGCCCTCTGAGAAGCTTGGTGATAGCAGTGGAGAGAGATTATTTTTCTTCAAAATTATGCAGTGTTTGCTTATGTGAAGCTGCAGTGGTACTCCAAGCACGGTAATGACTTTTATTTCTGTAGAAAACGTGCCTTTTCTGTCTTTATTTAACTTTGCTTCTCTTTTAAGGTTGCTGTGTCTGTTTCTTTGTCTTCTTTCAGATACTAAACAAAAGTACTGATGTTGAGCCTTTAGAAGGCTTTATGAGGAGGCTAAATGAGGGAATAATTTAATGAAAAACCTAACCATGTCACTGCAGCATCATTTAGGTGGTCATATTCATATTGTATATAATTACTGTCAGCTCATCACCACCATGCCTGCTGAACCATGTAACTCAGCGCCCAATTTACCCTTATCTTGAACCTCCAGGTACCTTTAGTAGTTATGTTTTTCTGAGTGAAAATGCCATTTCCTCCTTTTTCTGCCACCAAAATTGGAGATGCTCTTCAGACCTCCGAGAAAAGATGAGTAGGAGTCATCTCAGTGATGCAGTGGTTTCTCTTTTTGGTTCTTCTACCTATTGCTATCCTATCCTCTACCCTAGTCAAGAAGCTCTCCTGGGTAAATGTTTACAGTTTGCATTGAGAGAGATCATTTCTAAAAGTAAATGTTGAGGTCAGGGTATGCTAGCATAGCTGGACTGGCTCCTAGACCTTCGAGTTGCTTTGATTTTTGTCCTTCCATACTGGCATGCTGTAAAGTTGCATAGAGTTCCTATTGCTCTCCCTAGTAAGACTGCAGAAGAAGCAAAGATGAGGTGTAAGGAGACAGGTGATGTTACTAATTTGAAGTTAGATCCCTAATGCTTTCCTTATAGTTGTATGTGTGAAAATATGGCTTATGTAACAGTATGGTAGGAATGCCATGCAAGATACGCACTGTGAATTTTTACCTGAGTAAAATGGTGTCTGTAGGCATAACAAGTAATGGTGTTTGTATGTTCCATATTATTAACAAATAATGAAGGACTATCCAAAGTATTGGAGTAAGCTTGGAACTCACAGTGCTCGCTTCAAGTTGCACTGATCTTCAGATTGGGCAGTCTTCTCCTTTATGTGGCAAATGGGACCCTACAAAAGATAGGTCAGTCCTTCGGACTGATTTCAGTTGCATTTTCCTTCAAAGTCTAGAATTAGGATTTATGAGAATAACAATTACTTTCTTGATTTATTTGAGTGCTTGGTTCTGCCTCAGGTAACTACAAAGAATCTTCAAAAATGCAGCTGGCTGAACTGCCTCAGTCTTATGTGGCTTTGTCCAGAGCACATTAATTCTTTGGTTGTGTGCATTGCAAAGTAGACATTCCAAAAAATGCATGCCAAACCTGCCTCTTTTATCAAAACGGATGAATGCAAAAATGTTGCAAAGCAGTCCTCTTGATCTGGCCTCAAAAATGAGCGTTGAAATACGAAAAGAACAAATTCTAATCTGAAAGGCTCTGCTGACAGGTAGGACCTCGAGCATGTGTGAGCATGAGTTTGCCTTGAGGAATGGTGAGGCCAGACACCATCACATGCTGTGTGGTTGTGGCTGGGATATGCTCTCCTGGCAGTCAGGAGCTGTGCCACTTCAGCGTGTGATAAGGCTGGTGTCTGCATTCTCTTTGGTTGCATAGCAGTGAGATGATGAGTGTTACGTGCTTTGAGGTTTTGAGAGAATTTTTTATGCTGAGGAGAGCCAAGGAGCTGCCAGCCTTCTTGCTTCAGGAAGCCAGTCCCCAGGCAGTAGAACAGATGTTGGAGGTCAGCAATGAGGTCTGGGTGACTCACAGGTGTGTGTTTTGCAAGCTCTGCACTTACAAATGCTCTGCTTGACTTGAGACAAAGTGCTGCGTCTTCCCCAGAGGCTGAGCTATTTGCCTATCCTGGAATTGAAGAGGAGAAAAACAGCCAGTATTAGCAGACGAAGAAGAGCAGTCTGCAGCTGTCCTAAACTAACAGGTTATGCTGCAGCCTGGAGGTGGGCTTTTTTTGTGAAAAGCAACTCAGAAGAAGTAAGCAGACAGGAATGCCCCCCCATACAAAACAGAAACCAAAACTAACAAAGGAAATGCTTGCTATTCAGATGAACCGATAGAGATCAGGGAGGAAAAAACAAGCCATCAGAGACCTCCAGAAGTTTGCTACTTTGGCCACAAACCTGCAGTTTTGAGATGGCAGGAGTTTCATAGTCTGCACAGCTGTCCAAGACTGATGCAGATGTTCCTGCAATGTAACCCTAGGCAAAAGCAGGCTTGGTAATGAGTGACAGAAGGTGCTAAGCTGAGGTATAGCAAGGCATGCTTTGACTTTTGCTAAACCTCTCCAGAGCAGCTTCACTTCTGTTCTCTTGGGCAATTTCAGTGCAAAAAGAAGTACAACAGGCAGGAAGGGAACTTGGTCCCAGTGTTTGCCTCCATTTTGGGTTTGCATGGTGCAGTGGAGCACGGCTGCTCTGTGACAAGGCTGCACCAGCGAGCTCCCTGTTGTTGTACATCATGGTACAGTATGAGCCCTGGTTCTGGGATGCTTTCCTTTGAGCTCCATTGAGTTAATGCTGTGCTTGAAAGCCTGGCACAAGGCAGGATTCCACCTGTCCTGTAGTCTTCATGGTTCATTAAGGAAACTGATTAACTGGTATAGATATAAATGAGAAATCACCCTGGCTGCAGCAAGCACTGAGTTAGCTGCTTGTTGCTGTGGAGCAGCTTAGCTATCTGTCTGGGCTCCTGTGACAACCAGCTTTTAGTGACAAGAATTAGATCAGTGTTTTTATTGGTATATTACATAGTCTGTATTCATGGGTTAAGGATGCTGATATAACAGGAGGAGGCCTATTGGTTCTTGTTTCTCTTGCTGCCAGAAGCTGGTACAAGGCAGGGGAAGACATGAGAAGTGCTCTTTTGCTGTATGTTGAAGAGGCAGGATGCCGTGTGTAAAGAGCAGGTACAGTATGCTGGCGGGGTGCACTGCCAGCACATAAAGTCTCATGAACAAAAGTGAGGACAGACTGCTTGTATTGATGCTGCTGTCAGCTCACATTTTCTCACAGCTCGGGGACCATGAATTAACGGGCCCCATTGACAGGATGTCCTGGTTTTAATGTTCTAAGTGAAGGGATTTGTCTGCCCTGAAGGATAACACATTTTTGTGTGTGCTTTTCCAACAGCACTGGGTGCAGACATTCACAGCAATGCAGCCTGGCTCTTTCTGGCCCCTGCTTTCAGACAGAACTTCAGGGGGAATTGCATTATGGTTTTGTTGTGCTTTGAAGTGTTTGGGTATGTTAAGTATGAGGGCATGAAGAAAGGAGGTGGTTGGTTTTTCTGTTCGTTCTTTTTTTTTTTTTTTTTTTTTTTGCATGTATACAGGGAGTGTTGCTGAGACAGGTGCTGCAGCTGCAAAGGGTTTTGCTCTGAGACTGTCCCTGTGAGCCCCAGAGGTTTGTGCCCTGCCATTTATCTTCCCATCTCCATGCGGCAAGAGGTGCCTGACCACGATTTCTTACTGTCTGCACTTGTCAGTTCAGCGGCTTTTATTTAACCAGCAATTGGTGAGAGCATCTATATTTTTGCCCTCGTAAAATTTTAGTAAGCTTATCATTGCAGTGTCTTTATTCATGGTTCCTTGCATTCGGAAGCACTGGAGAAACCTGATGTGAGAGTGCCTGGCTGCTTGCAGTGCACACGGACACTCGAAGCAGACACCAGGAGTGGGAAGTGCAGGGTAACTGCAGAGGAACAGGAAGGTTTGGTCAACCCATTTGAAAAGTAGCTGCAGCAGTGAGCTGGTGCTTCCTCTTCTGCATGCACTCAACATCTGACATCGATGCAGGAGGCAGACAAGGTGTCTTGGTGAAGCAGCTACGGTTTGGTGGACAAACTGAATGATCTGCACGAAGCCCTGGTTATTATCTCTCCTCAAACAGAACGTATGAACTTCTTCACTACTTAAAGAGAGATTTTGTTCCTGCTCGTTCGTCTTGGATGGTTGGCTTCTGCAGGGACAAGGATTGTTTGCTCTCTGCTCTGCTCTACATTACTGGTGTTGCATCTGCTTCTGATTTGATGGAGGTGCAGATATCCCGTGTGTGATACACTAACCTACTTCTCAGACTTTACTGTGTTTGTCTTCTGACAGAGCACATCTGAAGTGGAGCTGATCAACTTTCTTGTGTCATGAACAATTCTGTTGCTAGTGAGGAGAGTTTGTGTTGAAAGAAAAAAACACCAGCAACCACCCTGGAGCAGCCTGGCAGGCTCGCTGGTGCCAGGATTCGCTGTGGCCACTTGCTTGATCAAGTGGAGGAGCAGCTTGGAACCATTGTCAAGATCCTGGTGTTTCAACTGCCAGAGAAGAAGTGTAGCTTAAAAAAAGCTTTCTTCAGTGGTATGACACAGTGGTGTCTTTGTATTCCCTGTGTGTGTGTGTGCTGGTTTTTACCGCCTTCTGGCATCGTCCACCTCATAGCGTTTTGGTAAGTGATTATGGCAGTGCATGGTAACTCAAGTGGGGACAATGTGCCTGTGTCCATCTTGGGCAGCATTGGCCCAGAGACAACTGAAGTAGGAGGAGGATGTGTCACAGGCTGTAAGAGCTGCTGGCGGTACTGTTCTATAGCCATTTGCATGTTACTTTTCAGATGGTTTCTATAATTTGATTTAAATAGCAGAATATGCCACAGCTCAATTTGTGTCACAAAGAAGAATTTCTTCCCTTTGTAACCCTTTATTACCCCGTCTGATTGTGTTTTGCTGAGTATTGAACAGACGTTCTTCATTCCTGACATACTTTGCATGAAACCAGTGACTCCTTCAGGTTGTTTCGTTTCATGCCTCAGCACATACATGGCTTTTTTGTGATTCCCGGGGCTGAATATTTCCTGATGATACACTGCCTGCCTTGACCTTTCTGCTTTGGAGTCTGCTTTTAGGCAAGTGCTTTGTGGTGCTTTGGAGATGGGTGGGACCGACCTTTTAATCAGGAAGGAAGTTGATTAATTGCAGGCTTGATTGAAAAAATGCCCTGCGCTTTCATAGAATCATAGAATTGTAGGGGTTGGAAGGGATCTGTAAAGATCATCCAGTCCCACCTCCTGCTAAAGCAGGTTCCCTGCAGCAGGTCACACAGGTAGGCATCCAGGCAAGTCTTAAATATCTCTGGAGAAGGAGACTCCACAACCTGTGTTGGCAGCCTATTCCTGTGCTCTGTCGCTCTCATACTGAAGTTCTGTGTTCCAGTGCTTTATTGCATTGACTTTCTTCTGGAGGAGTTGTGGAACATATGCTAAAGAGAGAGAATTTGGAAACGTGCATGCTTGACCCCATACCTATTACTAAGCAGTTAGTTTTGTTGCACATTGCACTCTACTGAAACATTAGGCAATTAATCTGCCTTTCAATTCTGTAGCTGTGTGGCCTTTACACTGTCTTTCCAGCTAAAAATGAAGTGAGAGTAGCGCTTGCTAACAGCGTGGTCTCTGTGGCTCATCTAGAAGAGGACAGAAGTTGGCTCTTCTTGGCACTTAATCAGTCAGTTAAAAGTACTGAAAGCTGCAGATGAACTTGCTTTGGTTTTCCAAATGCTGTGGTAATAAAATAACCAGCCGTTTCTTCAGATTGCCAGAGCTGACAACCACATGCATAAAAATCAACCCAAAACCCAACTCACAGGATCCAGTGCAAGAGTGCCACTTCCTGAAATCGCTTGATGGAAATAAGAATGCGTGCAAGTATGCAAGTGAATTGACAGTACAGCCTTCCTGCAGGCTGTCAGATGGGGAAAGTAAGCCTGGAGAGTTGTCATGCTCTGCAGTAAACGCTGTGGTTTTTTGGCAGCTTAATTATTTACTGTGAAGTGGGGGATGGACAGTTCTGTCTTGACTGTGGGGTTTTTTTCTGGTCTTTTCTCAGCAAAGATTTTCTTTGCGTGTCCACGTAATCCTACTTCTTGCATATTTGAGGCGTTACTTAGTTTTGACTTTGCAGGCAGAGGAGAGCTGTGCAAGTTACCATGGACAATGAGAGCTCCTGCTGAGGTGACCAGTCAAGGGAAATGGGTAGAAGCCTTGTATTTTCCCTTGTGCTGAGCTATGTTACAGAGATTGGAGATGCATAGAGTAGAAAGTGGATGACTGCTTTTGGTGAACCTTTTTATCTTGCTTTATCTTTCCAGTGTGATGTTTAAAGCCCTCTGCCTTCCTTGTCTTCTGGTGCTGGGCCAGTTGCCATACAAATGCTACAGAAATGCTGGAAAGTAGCTTCAGTGTCTTCAGTTGAAGCTGATATTATTCAGGCAATATAGAAGATATACAGTCAAGAGAGTATTGCGAGAGAGCCTTTATATATGACAAATGCTTCTTGGCACTGAGGTGACTAATTGATGGTGGCCCTATGCAAAGGAAATAGCTGTCTTCCTGGCTGATGGGAACTTCTCAGTTTTTGTGCAGTCACATGCCACCCATAACAGAAGGCCTGACTGCACACATGCACCACTTTGCTCTATTAGTGGGGAGCTGGTGTGTTTGTCTGGGGACAATTATCGGCATTTTTGGTTGCAGGACAGGTTGCGTTTCTGGTGGTTTTATACTTGTCATACAAAGGCTTTTTTGAGATAGTCCCTGTGGTTGGTTCTTGAGAGCTCTCTGCTAAGACTACACGTTTGTCATTGGACACATTTGAGTTGGTAGCAGACAAGTGATCTGTGTTTGCAGCAGCCAGGTCTGCACCTACAAGCTATGCCGAAGGGACTTCTGCTATAGAAAATGCAGACAGTAGTGAAAAAGCTGAACTGACATATCCTCATGGTTTCCATAAGGTTTGTGTTCACTGCGCTTGCAGTTCTTCACCTGGGGCTGAATGGGAGTGATGTTACTTCAGTGATACCAGGCTGCAGTCACCTGTGCTCCAGGTCTTCTGATAAGCAGGGGTTGCCATTATGCAATCCTTACAGCGATGGGTTTTTTTTTTTTTTTTGCATCTTTAAATCTTTGAGGAGGAAGGTTGAGTGGTGTTTCAGATGTGAGACAGCAGATCTCTGGCTGGAGATGTGCAAGCCTCTGTTGGTCACCTCACTGAATGAAGTAGTGCCATTGAAGCAGCTGAAAGGACATGCACAAGACTATGACTGTCTTCTGCTTGGCTAGTAAATTGCTTGCCATCATGGCTTGCTGTCCATCCTCTAGTATCTGTTTTCCTCCTTTCCCACCTGGAATGTGCAGTGCAGCATGTTTGAGTGGGAGATCTTTGCTTCTGAGGATAGGCACAGGACGTGTCAGCATAACTGCTTGCCAACAGGGGCTGGGATTAGGAACCAGGCTCACCTCCTGAGCCACAATCTCTGGGGCTGCTACACGCATTGGCTTGGGAAACACTGTGTTCCTCTTGAAACCAAAGTCACTGCAGACTTCTCCATCTCTTGCTGCAAATGCAAGGAATTTTTTATTTCTTTCATGCCATTGAAGAACCCTGTGGCAACACAGAACCAAAGTTTGCTCATAGCGTTGAGCTTTGACATGGATCTGCCCTTCCTCTGGCTGATGGAACAGAGTATGGACAAAAGATCACAGATGTTATGCTTCAAGGAAAGTGACTGCCAGACCTCTGCAATCAGGAGCCTGGTGTCCTTGTGATCCTGGAGCAGGCTCCCAGTGATACTCTTAGCCAACGGGGAAATCTTCATTTACTAAGGTGTTTGACCCACAGGGAAAGGAAGGTAGAGCAGCACTGTAGTGCCTGTCAGCAGGGATGGAGAAGCCCTACCACAGGTTGAAGCAGCCCTACTTGCCAGAGTGTTTGTCAAAGCACGTGTTACAGAGATCTCTTTAACCACAGCAGCCAGGAAATGTGTTGGGGGGGGGGGGCAGGTCTGGGAAGCCTCTGGGCAGCTTGCTTGAAGGAGGAACATTGCTAGAACATTCATAAACCTGACTGTGAGCAAACTTATTTTTTCTGACAGCAGGTTACTAACCCAACCCAAACACTGTGCGATCGGCTACATGATTAATATTTTGTGATCCACCGCAGTGTTTTGCTTTTGGACTTCAAAGAGCGTAGCTCTTTCGTAAACAAAACTCTCATGAAAATAATAACAGGCGCTGACAGGCTGTTGTGGAACAGACTGTGGATGGTGAGAATTTCCCCAAATGGTTTTCTTGTTTTCTGTTACAAACTTCCTCCTGTTTTTAGTCCTGCTGAAAACTAAGGCTATGTATTGAGCAGAGCAGCAGAACGAGGGAATTCAGAGTTAACTGATCAAAGCTTGTCCTTGTTTCACCTCTTTCCCTTCTCTCATAACAGCCATCTGTCTTAGGAAAGATGATGCTTTGTTAGCCAGAAGAAACTTACTTTTTTTTGAAGTGGAAAATCCCATAAACCAGCAGTTGCGCCAGTCAGGTACTGGGAGCTGAAATGCTCAGTCCTTACTTCCTCTGCTGAAGCTGTGCCTTGTTTTTTACATGAAAGCTGGAGGGAGCAGTCCAGAACATAAGGAGCATCCCACAGGAAATACACCTCCATCAGTAAGCAGGCTTGGGCATTAGATACAGCGGCACAGACAAACAGGAAGGCTATCGTAGGTTTGTGTACTGACCTATATGGCATGGTTTATCTGTGGCCCACTGTTCAGCTATGCCTCTGCTTGGCTGATGAAGTCTCATTTCATCTGTCTGCATGGGAAATCAGTTAAGCATTATGTGCCTTGGTTTTCCTTTTCACAAAGGTGTTCTTTAAGGCAGGACATTATGCTGCCTTCTAAAAAGCTTGCATCTCCAGCAAGTGAGTGCACATTCTGTTGTTGATATGCCCTTGGCCTCTTCCTTGGGCTGGTGTACAGCAACCCTGAGCTAATTTGCAACGACTTGAAACATGCTGTGTTGAAATGGGAGCACACCTCACATCCCCTGCATCTGGTTCGGGTCCTACAGACAGGCACAGAGTGTCGTGCTGTGCGTCACTCCTGGAATAAGCTGCCTAACAGGGTAGACTTCGTTTTTCATGCTGTGCCATTTTTTTTGGCAGCGTGTTTTTGCAGACATTGGGGTTAAAGACTTCTAATTTTAAAATCTTAAATCTTGGAATGTGGCTCCGTAATGGTGTGCAGTTGGATTTGGAAAAAAAAAAAGTCTGCTAAAATGGCATGCAGGGGAGGTGCAGCAATGAGGTCATGTTTAAGGCGTTAGACTTTCTGCTGCTGGTGCATATGATTTTTGTAATGAATGCAGAGCTATGAATATTTTTCCTTTTAAAGAAAAACAAATAATTGGGCCTTCCATCTTAGACAAATGTCCCTTCTTTGAAAGGGCCACTTCACTTTAGATTTTCCCACTTAATGGTGTATTTAGTGGGAGCTGCCCTGTTCTTTCCATCCGATCTCTGTGCCCACACGTCTGAATATTTCCATTTCAGAAAGGAGGACACCGCTGGTGCCAGCAGACAGACTTCCGAGTTCTGAAATGCAGAAGTGTTTTTAATGTCTAAGAGTTGTGACTAGCAAGAAAATCCTCACTAAAACTCACTCAACTGTTGCTGCTGTGTAAAGATAACAGCAAGACTTGCTTCTTCTCCTCTTCACTGCCTGCTGCACTGGGATATTGGAAAGGAATCATTCATGGAATTGCCCATCTAATGCTGCAGCTGTGCTGACTTCTGGCTGCTTCTTGGCTGCATGAACCAGGTAGGAGATCTATGGAACAACACCCAACACTGCAGGCCTTGTCTTGCCTTGGACACAAGTTGACCCCAGCATTCAAGGGATCCCCAGCACTTTGTGAGTGATGCACAACAGCATCCCACCTCCAGCCATTGGGACAAGTAGTGTGAATCAAGCAGTGTTTTTCTGTCTGTCCCTGAGCTATCCAAGAGCCTATTGTGGGAAAAGGGGACTGGCTTTTTTCAAGAGCAACTGAATGCAATGCTCTAGTTACCATGGTTTTTAAATGGAGTACTTCAGGGGTTGTACAAAAGCATCTTTAGCACTCACAGTGCAAGGAGAATGAAAGGACACAGCTTATGTCAGCACGGCATCAGAGGCTTAAATGAATGTCATTCATATATTGTTAGGAGATGACCCAATTTGGATCGTATTTATGGAGTGGGAGGGGAGAATGGACCTGTTTCAGCTGACTTTTGAGCCTGAAATGCACTTAGAGGCTTTGTGTTGGGACTGCACAGACTACCACTGGGCAAAGAGAGCCTGCTGTGGGGTGTTCCCATGTGCCAACACAGTGCCGTGTCCTGCCTTTCCCTGCCCAACATTCTGCCACATTCACACTGTGCCGTACTGCCTGGGGAAGAATTACACGTTGGGGAGAACCAGCCCTGTTGAGGTTTTATTTCATTCTGCTTTCTTGTGCAAGGCTTCTGAAGCCTTCTGTCAGTGTGCAATTTGCAGACCAGCTCCAGCCACTGACGGCTCAGGGGTGAGGTGGTGCCCAGTGTGCTCAATGTGCCACTTCCAGGAGCAGCAGCTTGTGCTCAGCATGGCTGATTTTGCTCCTTTTGAGCCGATAGCGGGGCTGCATCAGAACCAAGGTTGCTCCCTGTGTCCCAGCCCAGCATCTGCATTAAGACTTTGTAGGAATTGATGCCTGATGCTTTTAGGCTTGCGAAGAAACCTGCTGGCTGGGGAAAGCTCTATTTTGTGGGTGTTCACTATCAAAGTGCTGTTACAAAGTGGTGTAAAGCACACCTGCATCAAGCAGGCTGCAGGCTGTCAGATTTAGGGGGCCAAGCAGGGGGTTTCCCTTTGCCCAGTCCCGTATGAGTGTGTGAAGGGCAGGGGGGCCAGGTGTAGGAGTTCTGAGTCCCAGATAAGTGTTGGGTGTACTCATTTCCTGGACAGAGGAGTTTGGGGTTTGTTGTTTTGTTCAGTGCTATTCTGCATTTGTTTTTCTTCCTGTTGTTGGTATTTTTTTAATCAGATTTGATAATGCTGGTCCAAATGAAGGATTGTGAAAGGTGAGTGGCTTGCTTTGCTTGTACACAGCCACTGGTTGGATTATGAGAAATGGGGCCAGAAAGAGTTAATGTTGTTTTCCTGTGGCTAAGCTGGCTCTGCAGGACTGAGAAGTAAGGTGAGTTAGTGTCTGGGTGTTGTGGTCCTTGTGGCAAGGCTTTTAGCTTTATATGTAGCCGTTGAAGACTGCAGGAAATTCATTGTGTTCCTTTGAACAGGATGGAGCCTTTCACGTGGTCTTTTCTTTTTTTTTTTTGAACTTCAGTTCTGAAGTCTCTATGCATTGCCTAGCTGCAGGAAGACTCCCTGAGCTTGGAGATGTATGAGGGAGCAGCAGGCTCTCTCCCAGACCATCTGGGGAGTTCTGCCTGTCCCCGTGGGAGACCAAAAGTGGCGGTTGCAGATCGGCTCTGAGATCATCAGCAGTGTGATGCGTTGCGAATGTCGGCATGCGTCGGGCACGTGCAAGTTCAAAAAATGCACTGGGGATTTGTGCAGCGAGGGGCAGGACCGTGCCCTCATTTGGACGTGTGCCTACCCAGCAGCAGGGCTCTGGGGCAATGAATAGTGCTGTGGGCAGTGGATGCTGCAACTGCACCAAATCACCGTTAAGGTTCTCTTTCAACTAGCATTTAAGGCTGGAGGGGTTTGCTGTGAGTTGTGCTGCTGTTTATAGACTTTGCCTTCCTGGCTTGCCTCCAAGGTTCGTAGTGGGCTGTGCGCTCTCTGGTGCGTAACTCCCCCCGACTTCCCCTCTGCTTTGTCTGCTGTGCTCCAGCCCTCGCCCCGGAGCGGCGCTCCCTGCACTTCCTCTGCCGTGCTGCGGTGAGCTCCGTAACCCATCCCACGGTAAGCCAGCTGCTTCCACTGCTGCCTGGTACTGGTGAAAGGAAAACTTGATGTCAGTGCTTTGTATCAGGAGGATCGATTACTACTACCTTCATCCTGATGGCTCTTCTTCTAGTCTTCTTATGCATGTACAGGTTATCATCTAATTTCTTCTTGAATAACAGTTTTGAAAGGATTAAAATCAGCTGCTGTTTGGAGTTGTGACTGGAGATACGTGAAGAAGAAGAAATTGTCATTCCCTTCTCTACCAGAGCAGGTAGTGCATCAGGTGGGAAGGAGCAGAGAGCTGCCCATAAAGTGATCTGCTGCATATTTAAAATCAGAATCCTGTTTCAGTGTTTGGGATGCTCTGTTATCCCAGGTGTGACTATTAGCTCCCGAAGAGCACCCCGAGCAGGCTCTGTTGCCTTACCAACCTCATGCCACGTGTGCTGAGGTCCCTGGACCTGGGGAGCAGTGCTCCTCCTGCATGCTCGGAGTCTGTGTCTCTGGTAACCTGCTCTCTGCACAACACCCGCCTGCTTTTTCCTAATAACATTTCAGATAAATATTACAGGATGGAAGACTAAAGAGTTGATTTTATGGTTGCTGACTAAGTAGAGAGACGCAGTCCCAAGTTTCAGCTCGCACCGAGAGAAAGGCAGATGAGATGGGACTCACTTGCCTTTGCAGCACCGTCCACCTGTTGGATGCTGCAAGCCCAGTGTGTGCTTCCCCTTGTGCTTCTCCCCTGGTGACTGTCACCAGGGCCATTAGCCTACTGCCATACACAGGGTGGCAGAGCTCAGGGGATGCAGGGAAGGAATCCTTACAAAATGGTTTTGCCACAATTAGAGTGTCCACTGCACAATTTGTGTCCTTGTGTTGGAGCATTGGCCAGAGCCATGCCCCTGCCATGTGGAGCAAGCGGCACTGCGGGCAAGGGAGACCACAGAGAGCAGCACCGTCTCACTCCTAACCTGTGCGGGCTCCTCACTGTTGGTCCTGGGGCACAGGCAGTGTGAGCTCTGTTCTCCCAGGCAAAACAAAAGGCGATGTGCTACGAACCACCACAACTTCCACTCTAAAAATACCATAAAAGGCTGTGTCCTTACAGGCTGGGCATGGGAGCCGTTCCCACCCGCATTACTGCAGCATGAGTCACTTGGCGATCGCGAGGCGCTCCGTGTGGATGCCCGGCCTAAGATGCTGGAGGAGCAGAGGGAGGAAGGGGAACTGCTCCGTGGCACTGTGAAACTGATAAAGAGTTATGCAGAAGAGGATGACGAGCACGACGTGTGAACTTGACTGAACCTCTGGGCGGTTTTGGTTTCGTTGGTGTTTTGTGAGAGCTTCCAGGATGTGCTGCTTGCTGATGGTTTGTCCTGGAAGTATTTACAGCGAGGAGCCATCTAAATATGCGGACAACTCTGGTTTGCTTTTAGGAATCACAGAACCTGCCCCATGAACATGAAGCCAGAAGGACCCTCTGATGTGAAAGTGTGTGTTATTCAGCCTTCAAGCTCAGCTTTTTCTCTCCCTATCCTCATTGTACCTCTCCTCATCTTCATCTTTCTCTTCCCTACCCTGGTGCAGAAATAGGCTGAGCTGTTTTTTGTTTTAAAAAGAAAAATAAATGAATTCATAGAGAACTCCCTGACAATAAGTGCTGCTTATGCAGGTGCCTCGTATCCCATGCACAGGTACTGGACAGTCAATTCTGTTTGTTTTGGTTTCTTTCCCAAGACACCGCCTACCTGCCTGGCCCCAAGATGGGTGGTTATTGTTTTCCCTTTTCCTTCCTTCCCTTGACGAAGCCCTGGCTTTCAGGGCTTACCAGATTAAGCCCGTCAGTGGGAAATTCTATTAAAAGCTTCCTTTATTTAGACGCCCAGTGATGTCACCATGTGGGCAAGTTCTCTGAGTTGCTCTGGGTTGCGTGTGCAGAGGGGAGGCTGTGGCCTCGGGGCTGCATCACAGTCGGGACATCCTTCGGGATCTCCTTGAGGACAGCGCAGGGAAGGTCACACAGCAGGGCTTAGGTTGCTCTCTCCTCACCCCACTCTCAGGTTCATCTCCTGAAAGAATTTTTTAAAGGCTGATGCCATAGCTCTGCCTGTTCTCCTGCTCATCACTTTCCAGGTTAGTTCTTTCTAGAGTTTTTTCATTGCTGCAGGTAGCAGCTGCTCAGGCTCTGCTCTTCTTCGGGAGGGTTTCTGGATGCATCCCCCAAAGGGCAGTGAGAACATAGGATAGCAAGGTGCTGGCCTGGAATGGAACCAGTGGGCTGGGCACCAGAGTAAGGAACCAGAAGAATTTCAGTTTTATTTCTTGACATCTCTGAGAGTTACTAAATGGGGACACAGTGTATATATGTGAAGGGTTAGAAGGCCAAAAAATTTATTAGTACTCTACTTTTTTCCCCCATCTCTTGTATTTCACCCTTTTGCCGAGCAAGAGGCTTGTTCCTAACCTGTTCCATGCTCATATTAGAACTTGAATTTGCCAACAACCTTTAGTAAGGACAAGCTGAATGAGATAGCCACTCTTTAAAGCAAATTGGTAAGCCAGAGGTTCTGACTTACACTGTTTCTTGTCCTTTTTATAAGCAGTAAGCATGGCCTTTGCCTGTGCTAGACTGTTCTGCTGGCAGGTGATGCTTTTTGGTGTGCACTGCTTTTGGCAGCTCTGATGTTGGGGCTCAGATGTGTTTTTTGGAGGGCCTGTATGGTGCGAGTGAGGTATGCTCAGAGCCCCACTTGGTTTCTGCATGTAACGTGATGAGGCTGTCAGCCAGGATGGCTCAGCTTTGGGAGGATAATGCTGACACTTTCGTGTTAAAAATATTCCTTGAGCTGTCAGAAAAAATGTGTTTTATTATTAATGCGTAG